TTGACTTGATCAAAGGCCCTTCGAGACAGTCGAAACCTTTATCACAAAAATGCCGTTTTTAAGTAATCTCTTTGGGTGACAAACTCAAACATTCTTTTACATATCTAATACTAAGAGCATTATACACCAGTTATTAAGAGACAACCACTTGATTGAAATCTTGATTTGAAATCTGACAACGTAGAATAGAATCAACTTGAATGCAAAGTGAAGACATATTAAGAATGAAGATGCTTTCTATCATGCATGCATGATTCCTATCACGAAAGACATGAGATGACCGAAAAGAATTCCATTTCGCCCGTTCGCCGAGCTTGGCAATTTGTTTGCAAACTGCCAGTTTATATTTCTGAGAGGGGTCTGAGTCACAAAACGGGGCAGTCTCGCAATTCCGTTCTGCAGCTTTGACCACAAAGCAAAAATGTTCATTCTTCCAATACCCGAGGGGGGCAGATTTTTATTCTGCCGCTGATTCATTGGAATGTGGGGATTGCGGCAGATGGTTCACTTCTATCACAGTTTAATTGTGAACTTAACTGAGATTTTCGATTAATCGTTTTGTGCGTACCTGAATCCATCCATATCGTCCAGTTGTTCGATATCATGAATGGTAAAACACAGGTAATAGTTTGACTACGCAGTTACATTTACAGGCGCTGATAAGAAAAGTTAAATGTTTACACAAACAGTGTAGATTCTGATAGAAAATGGAAAAAAATCATAAACTTCAGGCATTCTTTATTCCTCATTTGAAATGTCAAACGTTTTTGCTAAGCGTAATCAACGTTTTGCACAATCCTCGTGCACATGCTACAACCTGGATTGCAGACACGGTCCAACAGCAGCACTGTCTAACAATAGAGTCATCAATTTTTGCTCCTCCGAACAAGAAATGTGACATTCTGGTTCAGATCACATGAAAACCGCGCACATAGAGGAGTGAAACAATGACGCTGTCAATCACATCCGAGACGCTTAAAATACCTATCCGTTCCTCGTTCAGAAGTGATTATGATGTTGTATCATGTAGCATCAGCAGTTGATGCATTTTCTGATTATGCATTATTGATTGCTAAATTAGCAGATTTTGTGCGTATTTTCAAATAAAACACAGTGATCTACAAACTGTTTCACAGACCTGTGTTTTTTATTTCTCCAATTAGGTCGGAAAGTTCGCTCAGAATGGACTTTAAAGAAGACCTATAACCAAAAGGATGAAACCCTGGGGTTCTTCATAAGATTCTAACCATTAGTCCAAAGTTGAAGACGGGTGAGATGCCAGATAGATAAAGAAAAACGTACCTACTTAGGCCATCTAAATGGGACTGATTATCCAGGTTCGTGTTTGCATTTTGGCCAGCAAGCGAAAACAACGATGCCGTTATTGCATTCCACAGCAACCAAAGACGTGCAATCTGCCAGGTCCACCTTTTTCGCCTTTTTTTCCTGGATGTCTATTTGCCATAATCAATGCATTAAAACTACGGGTATTGATATTGCCTAGTGCTCGGAAGCACGCTGTTCTGGTGGATTGCACACGTACCCGAATATTCTGAACCAATATGCTCCAAGTGTCGTTCGACAAACATTTTTTCACAAGAAATGCATGAGAAAATATTGGTATCTAGAAAATTTCCATGCGTATTCACAATTTACGCCGTCAGTTTTGGCAATGACCTATTCCTGGAGGTTCATGCTGTTTACCTGTGAAATGTTTCTTATCCTGTAAGGATATAATGCAGGTGAGACCAAATTTGGACCTATTTTATTCTGGTGTGCTAGAAGTGATTAGAGAATGATGTAAAACTGAGGTAACTAAGCACTGCGTTTTATCAAAATGTTTTATAAATCAAAAAGAGAATGCAATGCAAACCCCAAAATTTGGTACTGTGTCAGAAACAAATGTCAACTGCATTTCATCAGAAAACACGTTCAGCTGAGTAAAATGACCTCTTTCGATCGTTTTTATGCTAGAATAAGCAGAAGTAGAGTTCAATGTTGTTTTTGTTTCTGGGAAAATTGGCTTACACTCAATTATTCACGCCTATTGCGTGGAGAATATCACCCCATTCACCAGTGTTATACGCTTCTTTTAAGAGTCATTTCAGACTGCAATACGACCCAGCCTTATTCAGCATTCGTTAAAGTAATGCCCAGAACGAGTTGAAAAACTCAGCGCGCAAGATGCTTCGTACACCTTCATGTCGACTTTTCTGACGAAATCTTCCACATAGAATGTGATACAATCAGAATGACAGTCATCTGCTTTTTACCGTGTCTATCAACACATCAGTCCGGAAATTCGTTACGTGCCCGGGATTTGTGCAGATCGAACAGGACACAATTCACATTTCTGGTTCCATTAGGATAGCCGTCAAAAATAGTGTAAAGAGTTTTCTCTTTATCGAGGGAATCAAATTTCAACAATGATTTGCAGACAATATGAAACAATGCGGAATAATTATGGCCTGGGAAAACAGAATATCTTGTCTTTTGTTCGCTTGCAAGTCCATACCCCATATACCCGCTTATTTTCTTTATTTTCGAACCAACGACTATGTACATGATAGTCCAA